GGCCCTCCCTCTGGGGGGCCTACGAGGCAGGAAGCTAGCCAGCCGGAAGACCGGTGCTCCCCTGGGCAGCGGTTCTGTGTGCCCTGTGGAATCTGTGGAATCACCGTCCCCTGGACCCCTTACTCTTCCACAGCTCTGAAGCCTTGGGCACGAAATTGGACTTCTCTGAAAATGAGAATGAGCACACTATGGAGCTGCTCTAAGGATGCTTGCTGATTATGTGTGCAAAGCGCTTTTAACAATGCCTGCTGCAGAATGAAAACTGTAATGTTCCTTTCTTTCTTTTTTTTTTTTTTTTTTTGGTCTTTTTGAGACAGGGTCTTGCTATGCATTTCAGGCTGGTCTTGAACTCACTTTGTAGCCCAGGCTGGCCTCAAACTCAAAATGATCCTCCTGCCTCAGCCTCCGGAGTGCTGGGGTTACATACCTGCACCACCACACCTGGCTGTAATGTTACTTAAATAGTAAAAATTTAAGTTGAATTGGTAAAATGCTTATAAATTCCTAAGACCAACTGTTTTGCAAATGTACAATTTTTTTTCTATTTCTTTTTTTGGCACTGGGAATTGAACCCAGGGCTTTTGCTTTGAACCACACCCCAAGCCCTTTTATTGTTTCTTGAGGCAGGGTCTAAGTTTGTCAGTGCTAGGATAACAGACATCCACCACCATGTGCAGCTTGCTGCTTCTAAAAGGGATAAAGTCCAGAGAAACTAGTGATTGTGTGGACCTTCAAAGAAAAAACGATAAACTCACAAAGCAGATTTATTTTGGATCACTGGCCAGTGATTCCCAAGGTACATACAATGAACTAGGCACAATCTATCCCACCGCTAAACTCGTATTTATATTAGTTCTCTACTACCTTGTACTAAATTTGGGGTTAGGTATTTATCTGGTATTTAGTGTCAATATTCCTGAAGTTTCTTCTTTTTTTATCGTGGCGCTGCTAGACATGGACCCTAGGCCTTCGGCGTGCTAGGTGAGCTTTGTGCCGCTGAATTATATCTCACCCCGAGCTGCTGAGATTTGTAATCACTTGTGCTAAGGCCCTTAGTTGCCAGTTACACACAACTGGGATCATGTTGGCCTTCCAGCCTCAGTATCTTTACGCCTGTGTGCCAAATAATCTAGCAAAAAAAATTTAACTGAGTTTCCATATTTATGGACTGCCTGCTCCGTTCATGTTATGTTCAAGGGGAGGATGGGACGGCCAGCCACCTAGGCGGCGCGCATCCCAAGCGCCGTCTTTTGAGAACGCTGATGGCGAGGGACAGACGTGTGCCCGTGTTCCGGCATCACGGAGACAAGTGGTCCGGCTGGGTGGCCTCCAGCGTCAGGCTCTCCAAGAGGGCCGGCGCGCACCAGGGACAGCCTCATTCCCCCCGTCTCCCCGGGGCACGGAGGGCGGCCAGGCACGGATGGCGGCGGCTGACATCACCGGTTCCGGCCTGCGGGGCGCGGGGCGGCCGGCCCACCGCTGCCGCAGGAGCCCCACGTCCCGCTCGCC